AGTATAAAGTAGATGCAAACAGTGATATCACCCACCTACTTTTCCCCTTTAGCATGAACTCTGACCAGGATGATGACAGTTTCTTTCAGGGATCAGGACATACAAGTAGCTTGTTCACTGACAACGAAGACCAGGAAGAAGCAGGAGGAGCAGAAGAAGCAGGAGCAGAAGAAGAAGAAGAGGATGAGTACAATGATGAGGATCAACATCATGATGGTATGCATATCACTGGAAAGTAGCCATTGGTCTAATCAGGCATCTAGTATCCTGGACACCTCCTTCTGTTGGTGCCATTAGACACCAGAGATCTCGTCAAAGCAGGCACCCCGAGTCCACCCATATTCACGATCATCATCAATGACATCATCGACATCTAGAACAGAGGGACGAAGAGGATGATGCTCATGGGTCATCCCGTCGAAGCCAGCACCCCAAAATCACTGCTAGTGATGAGGAGGATCATCATCGGAGACGTTATCACCATTCAGAACAGAGGGATGAAGAGAATGAGGCTCATCAGTCATCCCATCAAAGCACTCCAGGGCCAGCCTCTAGTGACGAGGATGATGGACCTCTGCACCATTGACAAGGAGAAATCAGACATGGAGAATGGGATCTGGATGATGATGTTGATGGGAATAACATTCGCATTCAGGGTGTCCACACATCAAGAGATGTCACATTGGGGGAGTTCATTCAAGAATGTAGTCAACTATGGATGGATCAGAATGTTTCAACAAGGAGCATCGCACGTTGTGGAAAGTATCTCCACTATGTATTGTGTGGGGAATATGGCGAGGATCATTATATCAATCTCACCATGGCTGGAGCTGACCTACCAGAACCAAAAGTGACATTGATGAGGGACTATGATTCAGTCATTGCAATCTGTGATCGTGTTCCAGATCTGGGAATGCTGATTGAGTTTGCTACTACGTATCAGCCGATGATGTCAATGCAAGGTGGTATTAATATCCAAGCACCTTTCAAAATTGTCAATCCACAGAATGGCGAGGTAGCATTTATCATCTAAATGTCAAAGTCTATGCTAAAGCTGATCATACATAGCTCACAACAAATCCCATGGATCTGGGATGTGTTCCAAATGTCTTCCTTGTCAAAGTCACCCATCATGCATTGTTATATATCCTGCTGCTGAATTTGGTTCGAAATCTCAAACAGCATGAGGGAACCCCTTCAGTTTCCATCCAGGAGTATGCTGTGCTCTATGAAATATTCATCCAATCAGCAGTATGTTATCAGGATATGACAGCAGCTCGTCTTCCTGCTACATACAGTTCAAAATTGTTTCAGGCAGGAAGTGGGCAGAGTCATCAGATGAGAAAGCTAACAGAGTTGATCCCTAGTGAATATGTGGAGCGATTGCTAGGAGATTTCAGTGAACGACTGGAGTGCCATTCAGATGGATGGGGGATCGGGCACTGTTTTCTGCTTCAGTGGTGAGGGATCAAGGCATTGACAGTGCATGACCCAAGCAATGCAACTGAGCGAGAATACTTCCTGTGCCAGGACCATGTATTCAATGCCGACATGTTCAGTACTCCTGGTGATGATGTCTTTGTTGACGTTGCACTCGAGCTGTCTGTGAAGGAGGGAGCAGTTATGTGGTGCTCTGACGGCCATGCAGTCGTGCTACAGAGACTACTGCAAATGCATCAGACTGAAGCCGACAAGTGGATGTGTTTCGGTTACTACAATTACAAATAGGATACATGTGCACACCTCATCTCTGTCGCAGGATGTCACATCACAACACATACCACACCACTCAGACAATTCAATGCAACCTTTGTCCAGATGTACACAACCGATAAATGCCTTACCTATGACATGCAGGCAAGCAATAATGCCAAGTTTGTTACAGCAGTTAATCTGATGAAGAAGTCAAAGTACACATACAATGAGTTTCTTGGGAAATTGTATGGTGTCTTCGCAGATGCAGCATGGCATAACAATGTACATGCACGGATTGAGGTACGAGTCCCACTGGCTAATGCGGAAGATGTGTTCGCAGATGTTCCAGTTGTGAGCTTCTTAGATCTGGTGTATTGTGTTCCATGACAAGACTGGTGGTGAGCCTATTTCTAGAAGCTATGTAATGATGAGGATCAGGGCTAATAGTATCCACAGGCAATTTAAATCTGCCAGAGCTCTCGGATTTGCGACATTGATCCAGTGGCAGAATGAAGAGCACAACACAGACATGCGACACCATTACTATCCAGTCATCCTGACATGTCTCGTCGCATTTATGGTGAATTCACTTCATGCATGGCCAGAAGAGTGATCAGGACACAAGATGTTGATGCATGCCATCTGGCCACGAACGTACTGGCAGGAAGATCATCACATGATCCTTCCATGCACACGAAAGAGAGATGGGACAGATGAGCCAGGACCATATGCAGAGGGAGGACTCTGGTGGATTCCAAGCAGTGTGATTGCATGGCCAACATGGAATGGAGGTGGTACAAGAATACCATGATGCGAGAGTGTCATCCAAGTGCCCAGTGAGGCAGGCTGGAATTTGTTGGGCATTAGAAAGACGCTGAATGAGTTCTGTTCTGAAGATAGTCACATGAAGCAGCGACAATTGGTGGAACAGAAGCCAATGGGCTAGGTCATAGGGTGCACGAGGAAAGCCAAGGGTCGACCTGAGGGGCCAATGCTGAAGACAGAAAGGCTAGCTCGACAGATAGAAATGCCAGAAAAATCATATGACTACGGGCCCGATCTGCCACCACAGGACCAGATATATGATGAACAATATCTGGAGCATGCCGGGACATTTCTGAATCAAGTACTACAGCAATATGTGTCTGACATGCTGCAGAAGGTTGGACAGGCGAAATGTGGATGGGAACATTCTCCTCTGACACAGAATGAATGGCGGATGGTCGACATCCGTATCATGAAAGAAAATGATCTTAGAGGAGTGTTGACACATGCACGAATGCATGAAGGAACAGAGAGCCAGTGGAATTCACTGTTTGACAACATCTTCTGGACTCTGAATGAACTGAACGCTAGGAAACAACGGTCTGCACGGAGTAACTGGGGAAAGATGAAATCAATAAAGATGTGGGAAGGATTTGTGCATGATATGTCTTCTTCACGACAAGTGGAAGATATGCGAAGAGCACTGAAGAGAGCATTTGATGAATTCCTGTGGTGTGTTTGGTCTGATAGCACACGGGTGTGTGTTTATGAGAAGTTGGGAGGGGAACTGATTAAACCGGAATGAGTTTGAAAAGAGGATCTACCATGTTCAGCAGTCCGCCTCATCCAGAATCCATGGATAGAGAACTGGAGATTTGATATTACAAGTGGCCACATGCCAGCATTGCGGAATGTCGAGGAATGGGGGGATAGGGAGGATGAAGAGGAAATCATGTCGATAATTGAGAGGGAAGAAAGAGAGAAGCAAAAAGAGATGGACACACAGGAAAGAGAAGATCGCATTCTCCGAGAGCACAGAGAAGAAGAGGAATCCTTGGAGGATGAAGTGGAGCCGGACATCAGAAGGCAAATAACAGATGAAAGGGAACCGATCACTATGGAAGGGAACAGAGGGATGCTACTGGGGGAGCCCATTGTGTCACCCAGTCAGCATTGAAGTTGACAAAGGGAGAAGGGGAGCAAAAAAGATGTTGGAATACAATGTCAATGAAACAATTAGTGACATATTCTGACCATTTCAAAGTATATTGACAAAAGACATGATAGCAAATTGAACAAATTGTTATGGTGCTATTTTCACTCCGACAGATGAAAAGCAGCCTGCAAAGAAAATTGGTCATGTACTGTGGACTGGATGCGCTCCATACGCAGATTCTAAAACACCAGAATGGACATATTTTGAGAATCGGTCATGTACTGTGGACTGTACACGCTACCTACGCAGTTGCTAAATGACAAGAATGGTGATAATTGGAGAATCAGTAATGTACCACGGACTGTATATGCTACCTACGCAGTTTCTAAAACACAAGAATGGACATATTTCGAGATTCGGTAATGTACCGCAGACTGTATATGCTCCCTACACAAATTCTAGAATCAGTCATGTACCGCGGACGGGATGCGAGCCCTACGCAGTTTCTAAATGGCAAGAATGGCCATATTTCGAGAATCAGTCATGTACCGCGGACTGTATGCGCTACCTATGCCGTTTCTAAAACACAAAAATGTGCATATTTCGAGATTTGGTAATGTACCGCGGACTGTACACGCTACCTACGTGGAATCTAAATGACAAGAATGTGCATATTTTGAGATTCGGTCATGTACTGCGAAACAAATGCGCTCCCTACGCCCATGTCACGTGCAAATGGGCATAGACTTCATGTACCACGAAACAGACATGCCCCCTACCAAAGCGCACGGACCATGCACAAGAGGGACCGCTGTGAGTTCGCGGTACCGGCCTGTGCATGGTCCATCCACAGAGCGAGGCGTCCATTGCATTTTGCGGTCCCACCACTGCTGTTCTGTGTACCGCCGTTGCTTTAAACCCTAACTTAGGGTTGCTTCTGAGGTTCTTCTGAGCAATTCATGTACCGCCTACCTATAAAGGTCCCTGAAGAGCTATAAAAGCGAAACAGGGTGAGAGATGGTGACCCCATCCCTCTGTTGGACCTTGATTCGCTTTACCAAGCAATTACACAAACCTCAACACTTTGAGGTGAGTATTTCAGTACTCATATTGTGTACCCCCTTCGGCGAAGCCGTTGGGGGTACACCATCCTAACCCAGTTGACTACCAGCACACGCCTCACAAGCCAATGCAACTACCCGCCCACTAGGTGAGCACTAGCAGCAGCCGATATTTTTTACCGCACCAAGCACCTTCGGTGCAAGGCGCGGGGCTAACCCTAACCCTTCGAAGATATATATGCAGTAGGCGCTGGGTATACTGAACTGCAGCGCCGGCGTAAACAACACTGAGAAGCGAATGGAGCGCAGGATCAGTATATCAGGTGATATCACCCCAAAACAGTGTCGACAACATATCTATGAACATTATTTGCAATGTGCGATAGCTAAAGATCTCGAAATGCTACAGAAAGAAAGTAGGGTAGTCATTGTCAAAACAAGCCGGAGGGAATACAATGTGCCATGCGAAAGCGACATATATATGTAACAGAATAAAAATGGTTGCTCAATCTAAGAAAATAAATGCGATATGCAGAGGTTCTTTGCAAGACGAGAAGAAGCACGAGAAATTATTCGGGTGCATTATATGCGAGGTGAAGAATGAATGGTATGCGAGATGTTCCGAGATTGATAAGGGGCAGACGGTCCATGAAGAATGATTATGTATGGTATGCAGTGAATATTGATTCGTGAGTTTGATTCCTAGAATATATTTGGCGACAGCCGAAAATCTGCGGATGTGTCGATGCGAGTTCAAGAGTATCTTTTGATATATGTGCCGTTACCGGTCGAGTTTGCTGTAAGATAAGAGCGATGATGCCAATAGCGATAGAATATTGTGGAAGAAATGGGTCGGTCGAGACAGAACTTAAGCGGACAAAGTTCAGTAGCCATAGTATGCGCGCTTGAGAAAGCATCAGCATCAGGATAGGATAATTATGAAGGAGCGTACCATTCGATCACTATGAGAACAAGATATGCTGTAGTTCGACATCCATAAAGATGAAGCGGAGACTCACAATAACCAGATAACTTTGGAGCCAGTTTTGCACCCACGCAAGGTAACGATATGGCTTCTAATGCAGTCGTAAAGCAGAGCGCGCTGGTCCTTGTCGGCCTTCACATATATGATTAATACGTTGGGTCGAGAAGAAGAAAAGCGGACATACCATGGGCAAGACGCTGGCAATCAACTGACTTCCCGTTACTGAGAGAGCTAGGTCGACGATCATTGCACGCCGAGCGCTATACGAGATGAACATTAGCACCTCCAGACGAAAGAAATCATACCCTTTGGCTGGTTCACACATCCTTTTTACCACCTTGCCAAGCGTGTCCTTACCGCCTTCCTTCAAACCTTTCGTCACAGATTTATACCCTTGTTCATTCGTTGCGTATTCAAGAAGACCTGAGACCAGGTGGTCAAGGGTCAGTTGACGATGTTTGTCGGATCCGTGCTCCAAGACTGGAAGGATCGTCAGCGATCCACATAAACCAAGTGCAAAATGAATCGTACTGTGTTGGATACAGTAAGAACCCCATTGGCTCTTTGCAACGTCACCGAAGACGGAAGGTCCCTGGTTGAGGATCTCATCGACGATGCCATCTTTAGCGGCGTCTTCAAGGTTTTCAAAAGCGTGCTACAGAAATAGTGTACTAAGTTAGACAAATAACACCTGTTTCGGCCACAATGACATACCTGAACAACGAGAGAGCCAGTTTCATGACATGCGAGCGCGGCCCAATTTCCCTTGAGCGACTTGTTGACACTGCGGCGGCGATTAAGTATCAAGCATGGAGACGGAGTATACACGTACAAGGCAAATATTGGTGGCGCGGGAGGAGTCCACGAGAGCTCCATGACCTACGGCCGTTGTCAAGGAAAGAGACATATTGAGGATAATCTCGTACCTTACTCCAAACGTGACTGGCATGCTTATTCACGAGCGTCTGAGCGGGATCACCAAGAAGTAATTCGGAAACTATGGCGAGGCGAATATCTTCCTCGCAGTCGAGAGCTTTTTGCAGGACATGACAGCCGTAGCAATTGGTGGCAAGTTCGACAATTCGACCCCTCGATGACGAAATATATTAGGGAGAGCGAGACAGGTAACAAATAGCCGGGAGGTTTCTTACTTCATGCAACCGACAATCTTTCTTTTTTCATCGGCTGTCGAGGCCGCCTCAAGGCAGCGTTGAACGGCCCAATTGCCGAACCTATCAAAGTATTCGATGGAGGATCTATGAGGCATGCTCAGCAACTCACCTGTGAGCCATCATCTCAAAACCGCGAGCACAAATTGCGTCTACAATCTTTGCGCGCTCATTGACATCAGCTACTTTCAATTTCTGCTGCAAGAAAATAGAGGCTTGCTGATCTGATGCCTTGATGATCCGAGACACAAACGAATGGTATGGGGGTGTAGACGAAGGGTGAAGGAGCGAAAGGAAGTTGATCGGCTAATAGAACATAGATATATGCGCATCAGAACGAGGAAAAGTAAAGTTTCCAGTGCATACCTCGTGAGCTAACTGGCGTTGGGGCGACGACGACGACGACTGTTGATATGAAAATGACGAACGGAGTCCAGAGGAGTGTTCTTCGATCCCGACACCTCCAGAGCTGATTCCGAGAGCGTTTACCATCGGTTTTTCATCCGAACGTATCCATTCAGAATGCGCGGAGAAATTCTGTTGCGTAGATTGAACAGGCGCCCGAGGTATATTCCAATCACCGGAGTTGAGGGGTCCGCGACTGATACAGACATTTGGCGCCGTCTCCTGGCGATGTGAAACTGGAGCCTGCTGAGAATTGAAGAGATGCGAGGGAATCTGGTCGATCGGAGAAGCTTGGTAGATGGAGTATGAAGGCTGAGGGGCGATATTACCGACGGCAGCGGCAGCATGATGGTCGTAGGATTTCAAGTAGTAAGGTAAAGAATGCAGTTGGGTAGGAGCATGTAGGTAGGGAAGTCCGGTAATTGGCATCTGCGCAGAGCTGAAAGTTGGTGAATGGGATAATGCGCCAGTGTCCGAGATGTGATGGAGCCTCGTCGGAGAGCTGGGTTCGAATAGCAAGGACGCCGGGGGAAAATACGAGCCAGACCGTGGACCGGTAGTAAGCTCGTACGGAGACTGACACTGCTTGACGTCGAACGATCTAGTAGGAGAGAGGTCAGTGGGAGTGAGTAGGGCAGAGGAAACCGATGCAGGCGAAAAATATGGGGATCCAGGAGTGGTCTCGGAGCTGAGATTCAGGGTCGGCTTTTGATGGGCGAAAGGGTCGGGAGAATTGAGATCCAGCGTACGAAGCAGCTGTTCGACGTGCTGCATATAGTCAAGTAATCAGAATTGAGACACGAAATATGGGGGGAAAGACTTACTGCGTCGTCGAAGTCACTCGAGGGGCTATTCTTTTTGCGCCCATCACCAATAGCACCAAGTTCTTTCGTCGTCGCTGTCGACCAGGCACTTGGAGGAGACCTGATCTGGGAGGAAACCTGCTTCGAACCCAATGGCTGCTGATGATTATCCTTCTCAACAACCCTGGAGAATGAATCTAAGGTCTTTGGCCACGTCGACTCTGACGGTTGAGGCTGGGGCGCCCATATCGACATGGGAGGCGGTCCAGACGGTTGTCGAGGACGAGCACCATTGTGTGGCGGTGCACTGAGGTCATGAACGGCGAGAAAGGTCTGTGCACTGTCGGCGGTGGGCATACGGAGGGGAGAGGTAGATGGTGGTGGTAAGAAGTCAAGAGACGTCGCGGACATCCTTTTTTATAACCTCTGAAAGAAGCTCCGTCAAGATTCACATTCCTTTTATGGAATCGTATTATCCTTTTTAGTCTATCTGGTTGCTTCAGCGTACTTTCCTCCTAAAACGAAGGTTTACCGTACAAAATGGAGAGAATATGTCACTTCAAGTGTCAATAATCTTCAGAGTCTGCGCATCAGAAACATTGTGCACCGCATCCAAAGAAAACTTTCACGAAGCCCGAGCTTGAGCTACTGCAAAGTCCGGCCGCCAAAGAAGATTTAGCTTTTGAATTGGCATGGTAGCAACAAGTCGTCTGCGGGAGGACAGAATTCGCACGAAATATCTCATACGGTGGACATTTTCACTCGTTCTGACCCTGCCCACATATCACGATCAGTTCCAAACATCGGCCAATTACGGATCTAGGTAGCGACTTCTGCAACACTCGAAGGTGAAGAGGAAACCTGAAAAATACTGGTCAACTCTCAGCATTTTAGTCGAGCTAGACCATACCTCAGGGCAACGTTGCCATTCAGGAAAACAAGCATCGGACCCGACTCCCGAAACCAAAGGCGACGTGCAGGAAAATCAATCAGTTCTCTATCAGCGTCACCGTCCTTCCAAATCACAAAGTCGCTTCCATGTACCTTTCGTGTACCATCATTCAGATTGCGTCTGAAAAATCCTTCGAGTATGAGCTTGACCCCAGATGGCTCATAAGAAGAAGAAACCCGGCACTCACACTGTGTCTTCATATTACTATGCACATTGAACTAGTCAACGATGAGCCTACATGGAATTCGATGTTGAGAAGATTAGGAAGCCAACACAAGGACACGATATGTCGATGCACCTATGTACTCTTCACACCATCACTGATTTATTGAGTGACAAGCAACGACACCAGAAATGTACAAAGTGGGTCACATATCCCCAGAAAAAACAAGGGCAGGGGCAGAAACATCGCAGAAACGACAAGACAATGGTCAGAGTTCGTTCCAGCAGCAGACAGAGTGGAAGGGAAAGCGACCAGCATAGATTCTCGCAAGATTCACGATACGTACAGATTATCGGTCATCCCGAGAGGGAGAAAGATAGCCGAGAGCCGGTGTGGCCTGGGAAATGAAATAATACTGGAATTTGAAATCCCATCAGTGGTTGAAAAATAAAAGAAGGCAACAAGCAATTCGAAGGGATGAAAGCTAGAACGATGAGTGGAAAAAGGGGAGTATGTATTCGGTTGTTCAGAACGTTCAATCTCCATCATATACATAACGGACCGAATTTGGATACCTTCTTCGATGGGATTTCCCTCCTGTGTCTCCTCAGAATGAGCCAAGTATCAAATACTAACCAAATAGCATCTCGTCTTTCTTTCGTCGTGTACAATTTGCAGTGGAGCTCACCAATTTAGTAGCCGGGATCATATGTGAGACCCTTCATTGCGCCCATCTCTCCAGCCGGACCTTTTACAGCCATGCTTCGCCTTCGACGGTCCACGAGCTCCATGCCACCTCAAAGAAATTAGCTGTTAGTGGCCTTTTGAACGATACCACGACCATTCACCCCGTTCAAGGCAGTTTCAGCTCCTGGGCTTGGTTTATTCAATTTTGGATGAGGCTTGTGATCAACTACATCATGGGAAAGGAGCACCTACGACGTCATTTAAGGCACTCACGACTTTCGTCTTCTCCCATCCACCCATGCTATCTCCCCCGTTCCCAGACGATGTCCCGACCCATCCTCTCCTCATCCTCGACTACCAACTCCTCAAGCAGGGCGACGAAACCGAGAAAGAGAGGCTCTGGGAAGCCGCTCGAAAGCTCGGTTTTTGGTAGTACGTCCCCCCGAGCAGCCGGTTATATATCATTGATAAGCATAGCCTGAAAAACCACGGCGCCGAAGATGAAGCCAGCCGTATGTTCGAAATGGGAGAGGGGACGATGAGACTGCCTCTGGAGGAAAAGATGAAATATGAACAGGGCGACGACGGGAGATCCTTCGGGTTCGTTATCTTTCCTGGTACATCTCTCTTGTGCTTTATTTCTCCCAATCAGATACAAAGCCGCGGGAAGTAATGCTGTAGACGCATCAGGGAAGCACGACACCATCGAATTCATCAACGTCTCCAAAGACGATGCGCTTGCCTACCCCAATATCATCCACCGCACCTACCCGTCAACCGTAAACACGAGGATGGAATCTACTATCACCCCATTCGTCGCCAAGTCTGTCGAAGTGAACGATACGATCCTGGATATCTTCAACGACAAGCTCGGGCTACCGAAAGGGACGCTGATGCGGCTTCACAATAAGGAAGAGCACAGCGGAAGCGAAGCGCGGATTACCAAGAACGCACCGGGTCACGCTTCGGACCGGATAGCGATAGGTGCTCACACGGACTTTGGCTCACTCAGCTTTCTGCATAACAGACTCGGAGGTCTGCAGGTCATGCCGCCAGGGTATACCGAGTGGCAATATGTGAAGGTGAATACCTCGTCTTTTTTCTAGATCCCTGTTCGCTCGCTCAGACATCCAAAGCCAATCTCGAGACATGCGATCTGTAACGTTGGCGACGCGCTATCGTTATTCAGTGGAGGTATCCTGCGTTCGAATTTACATCGAGTAATGTAAGCGCCCCCAACCCCCTCCCAAGGACCAATTCTCACCCGACTCCTCCGCAGTCCTCCTCCAGGTCCTCAGTCCCATCTTGAGAGATGGTCTCTCGTCTTCTTCACCAGACCAGGAAACTCAATCGTCCTTCGTGCGTTAGTGGAAGACAGCCCTCTCATTGCCGAGGCAGTACGCGATACTCCGGAGAAAAACTTTGAGTCCGGATCGACGGCGAAGGAGTGGTTTGCACGACGAGTCAAGTATCAGCGAGTGAATAACAGAGTGGTGGGATCTATTATTTTCGTGTGTTTAAATGTTACTCACGCAAACGGTGAAGGGTCCCGAAACGTGGAAGGCGAGTAGGGGAACAGAGAATGAATGATGGCATCGCAGTTATCTTTCTTCATGAACCTATGTATTCAGTCGAACGTTATGTTTTATCAAAACGCTGTGCCATGTAGTACTGTATCGCCAAGAGTGTCATTAGTGCGTTTTCGTATGAGCCAAATCGGCTCTGCGCGCCAATGTCATCTGAGCCTCCGTTTTTGGCCCTCATTCGAAGGCGCGTATTATAACCGCGTTAAACTGGCATTTCGGGGCGATGAGATATCGATGGCTGATGGGCCGACGCCGGTGCGGAATGTGGATCTCCTGGCGTAGGTTTAGACGTCCCCGACGGAGACATGGATCGAGTTAGATTCATGGAGATCAAACTGAACCTTTCAGTATCATTATCAGCATGTGAAAGGGTGAGTGTTGGCAAGGAGACGAGCAGTATTTTCAGGGCATCTAACGTGATATACGCTCAATGGATCAGTATCGGACGTTGTTCCCATGGGAGATTCTCTGGATGAATCTGTTCTACCTCGAGTTTGACTTCCAAGCGGTCTACTGATGTTGCGATCGAGGCGACGGGATTACCTCTAATGTTGTCGCAGCTTCCGTGGCGGAGCCACGATACATGATCTAGTAGATTGATAGTAGATTGATATTAGATCGTGCAGCGATAGAGATATGCAAATGTTCGACTTACCTCTCTTATCGGCACGGGTGACGCTGGAATCAAAGCGGGTGAGACCTTCGTCCATGTTTCGCCCGTCTCTCCAGTCATCTGGGATGATATGCATCGAAGCACTTCAACGGCCCTACAGCATCCTTTTCTTCCGTCCGATACCGGCCCGGGAAGAAACTGTTTTCGTCGTAGTGGTACAAGGATCTTTGAACTTCCGGTTTTTATGAAGGATATTTCGGACCTCCATGGCATCGTAATTAACAGTTCAGTGTGATAACTGACAGCGAACACATATTGAATGCTGTAGACGTTTCCAGAAAACAGATCTCGAACTGAGTTTTGGCGGCGTGGTAACCAAGAGAATCCCATACAGCCAGGAATGCATTCCTCCAGCTCCTGGACAGCGAACTTTCGTGGGACGCTGCATGTTATGAGAATACTAGATGCATGGTCTAGTCCCAGGGAGGCGATAGCAGAGCTTGGTTATCGCCCCTCGCCACAAGCGATTTTCAACAACGAGAATTTACCACCACGTTCGCTGACTGGAACAGTTCCGGTGAAAAAAGTACATTGAAGTGCTTTCTGGGGTGTATCTTTTCGGTATGCGTACCGGCCTTGGGGATGGTAGAAATATTGTTTCCCGCGGGGAGATTTTCGACATGTCGGCGTCGTGGAGATCTTCTGGGGGGGATAAAAAGGAATATCTGTGTAATACATGAATGAGGAAGGACAGAAAAAAGGCCCGTCCGTGTTAGCATGGGCGAGGGTGATCACGGAAACAAAGTGCTTTCTCACGCCACACTCGCGATCTTCTACTTCTCGCAGCCACATCTTTTTTCGTGACTACATTATCTTTTACCTCGCTGTCAAATTGTTCATTCTTCTCTGATACATGACTCATTCCTTGTCAGTGTCAAACGCCCTTATGTTGTGATTACTGCTCGAAAAAATGTCATTTTTGGGCGCATCGGCCCGACTTCCTTCCTTTGTGCCATTCTGGTTTTCTGTTCCGCCGCTCAATTATATCATTCAGAAGATGAAATACACCAACTTTCGGCTGGTCTATCGCCAAGGTTCTCTCTAACCAAGCATTCCTGAGCTTCTTCATGTGGCTCCGAGTGCCGTATCATCCTTTGCCATAAGGCCACAGTCTCTGCTTGTGAAATCTGATGGCTGATTCATGCACCAAGGTACCGGCAAAGCGCGACCTACATCGATTGTGTATGTCTCCCATACTTAACGGGACTTTGCTTTACCTGCTCCTCATTGAGCCGGTCAATTTACTTCGTTTTCGGAACGGTGGGCCATGTTTACGGTATGTGATCATCATCTCCTTCAAAATCTAGGCATTCCTGATCAATTCTCATAGCGCGCGCTTACCTGCCTCGCGTACGTACCGGGACCCACTAGGATCATTCAAGCACTCTTTTCTATCGCCCACCCTTGTCGGAACCGGTTGTGAAAGTCCTCCATTTATAGCTTTGCGATTTGACCGATCTGGATTTTTTTGGATAGCAGATGGCCAAGACGGCTCTTCTGCATGCGTTGGAGCGGTTTGATGAAGCCGATCAGGATGGAGAGCACCTCAGAGATCATGATACTAGTCAGAACCTGACTGTTTCTACGGAAACTTCTCTAATGAGCGATGAAGAGGATGTGGACGAGGAGGAGGAGGAAGACATAGGATTTCAAGCGGCCCTAGCTGCGTCTAGGTCAGATACGGAGGATACACTCAAACAAGAGGAGCTGGAGCTTCAGAAAGCCATCGAGGCATCGAATGACGTAGATCAGGATGTGAAGCTGATGTTGGACACCGAACGAGCTATCAAGATGTCTCTGGGGCAGGAAAAGACGTTGAAGGAGATGCGGAAAGTCCAAGAGGAGGAGTTCCTTCGTAGTTTCTCCGGGGAATCACCCACGATCCCGTCGTTCGATCTGCCCAGTTATGCCTCTTCCATATCTAACATAACAACTGATGGTACCGGATCTCTTCCACGACATCATCCATTCCTTTCTCCTCCGACTTCTGTCATTTTGGGCCTCGATGCTACTACTGTGTCTTCCCAATTTATCTTTCCGGAACCAAGGATTCCTGTTCCCAGTGATTCAGGTTCAACTGTCACGGATATTGATATTAGTCCTTTTCCGCTGCCGCCTGTGTCACCTTCGATCTGTTCTGAGGAAGTGGCTGAGCTCTCATCTGATAGGGAGAAGAATCCTTTGCACGACTCCGAACCTGGGCATATATCCTCCGTTCCACGGGGTACCCCTCCGTGTAAAGGATATTTTCTAAGGCCTATATCGAATCCTGCTCCTGAAACTGTTGGTACTGAAAATGCCCCCTTGCCCGAAATAATGGATAAGGCTTCCATTTCCCAGAACCAACATCGGTTTTCACATCGAGACATTCACATTCATACGATCCCGATAAAGGAAATTGGAGGCAGACACCCCATCATCATACCTGTGCAAGGAGAAGATGAGCATCAACCATTCTCCCAGCCAGACCGCATAGTGGCATTTTGCTCTTCTTCTCGTCCTGATAACTTCGCAGCTCGCTTTACTGCCCTTGAGATGGACGATGTTCCATTTCCAGAAGTGCGTCAAACGACAAGGAAAGCCCCTTCCCGACAGAAACGGAGCCATAAACGCGCTTTTTCTATGCGAAGTGCTCATATGACCTGCGTCCCCGACCCCGACTCGACGACATCGAATGCGTTAGTTCAAGGGGAAGCTGATACAGAGCCGGCAAGCATACAATCCAGCGCGAATTCTCAAAAGTCTGAAGATAGCACTCCCAGCTTATTCGCGCGCTTGGCCATTTCCCCATCACATGTTCCTCCCAAACATCCCTCCACGTCGAACTGCTATTTCTGGGTGAGCGATCTCCTCGCTGACATCGAACCATGCATGTCTCTTCAGTTGTTCAGGAAGACGACGCGACCTATATTCTCTGACCAATGCTTGTGCTTCAGCTGCGGCGCCATGTCTGTAGGTCCGTTAAGTCTCTCGTCAATCCATTTCTGACCTTTATCTCAGGTACACAATTTTCAGTAAAGCGTCCAAATGACTATGCTGTCCATCCATGAAAGTCTCACATGCTACTGTGATCTCTGCGGCCTTTCCTATTGTCATGGCTGTCGTCGGCCACAGAATCACTGTAAGAAACTCAATAAACTCAATACCTGCCGACCTCGCATCGCTACTGCGATATTCCGGATAATCACTCTCATTGACATCGAGCTGCTGAGACTGGGGGGTCCTGAACATGTAAACGAACTATTCGCAAAGAGCGACGGACGACAGCAGGTAGCCAACGCACTATCCATGATGGTGGCCTACTTGAATAATTCGCCGCATATGCCTCATCACTATCTTCCGAACCTCTTTAATCTATCGCTCCTCCCTGTGATCTTCGAATACCTCCTTCAACGACCTCCCAAACCATGGATAGAAACCCAAGCGACTGAAGATCTTTACCGTCAGATTCTGGCGTTTCTTATGATATCCCTTACCGTGGGTAACGGCGAAATTATCCTTCAACAAAGAGGTCAGATGACCCAACACAGAGGCGTGTACGCAACGATGCAAGATACGGGGAGGATCACTTGGGATGCCTCATCACTGGTTAGGTCATTTGCCGATATCATCGAGGATATCTATAAGGGGGATTTCATGAAGGAAGCCAAGGATTACATCTCTCGGTATCGACATCTTTTTGATCATCTAAGCGAACATGTGAACCACCTCAAACATCTGTTCGAAGGAGTCGATAGGCTGCGTATGACAGATGATAGTGGAAAGGCCGTTCGTACTCGACGCTCTAATATTGATGTCATGCTGTAACCGTATATCAGAGGACATTACTTTTTGGGAAAATTATGGTCGCATGCGTTTCTGAGCAAGGGTTAAAACACAGGGCGCCTTTGATCATGATGGCAATTAATATTGCCGCCCAGGACCGGCCTTGTGAGGTAATTTGAAACGAAAGTGCCTACGCGTGTTTGGAGGAGACCTGTGGAGCAGTGAAGAACCCAAGCGTCAAAAATGCCTGTCCGGTTTATCCGGGCCTGTTAAAAGAAGACATTGGCTACAAAATTAAATTGAATGACAGACTTCAGATAACAAGGTATGGATCGTCTTTCAAATCAAGTCACTCTACCAATGGTGCGGATTTGTTTCAGGGCGTAAGTGTTCATATTTGTAGGCTACAAGTACATGCACATCTTCCCATGCGCGATTATGTATTTATCGGCAATGAAACACCTCATCACCCAAACACAATCCCAGTTATCCCACCCCCACGGTACTGTTTCGCGTTAGTGAGACCTTGGTAATCTGAATTGCGGAGATCGTAATAACTCCTCGGAAATGTCGTTCGAAGGGAGCCAAGATCACGGGCACGGTATTCAGTGTTATCATGCGACTCGAGAGGTAATATAATTGTGGAAGTGAAAGGCTGATAAGTGGCGTACGGCGCAGTACACAATTAGGATCATGGGAATTTTAAGGATAATGACGAGGATAAGGAAATAAAAATTCTATCGTCGAGCCTGAGAAGAAAGAGATGTTAATCTAGGGTTTCCCTCACTCATAGCATTCATTCGGAGATATATAGATCCTCCATCAAGGCAATAAATTGAATGAAAGGCGCGATGATTATTTACGGCATCTGCTGCCGTCGTGCTTTCACGAACGAAGGTTTCTTCGAACGCGTCATGTCTTCTGTCATATGCAGGGACGGTTTTCGGAACATAGATCCCATGGATGGAACGGGTGCAGAAATCTACTCTCATCTTATCGTAGATTCAAATGCTGAAAATCATTGGTTCAAGAAGCCAGCTCCAGTTATGCACGTAAAGGACGAGTTTGTGATATGTGGAATAAATATACGATAGGTAAGGAAAGCGGCAACATAGACACAAGAGGGTAATAATGACCACGATGAACTATTCAAGGCAACAGTTGAAAAAAAAAACGTATGGTGTGGGGTCAGGGTTCTGATGACAGAGTGGGTAGTAAGCGGCGGAAAGATGTAAGTGAACGGTGAGGTACACGGAATCCTGATTCTATTCCGTCATCCGAAGGGGCAACCGGGTGCATGAGCGCCCCTCCACCCACAGTGACAACACTGGGGCTCGCTGGCTCCGCGACCGTTATTCATCGGTACTGAAGTACTCGAAGGGGGGCTCGTATACGAAGCTTCGTGTCTGAAATGCAGGAAGACCATGACGGAGGGTGACAACGAATTGCACATAATAGACGAGTGCGAGGACGATAGCGAGATGCGAGTTGGAGAGCCAGGCTGGGGGAAAGCCGTTCCCAACATGCCTACCTTTTATCAGTTCCAGTGGCGCCCAGTATTTTCGACCGACCATATATCGGGAAGCATATTTTCGAAATGTCTTCGTGCTGATGCCTAAATGGGTTAACGAAAAAGATGGATTGCTAGATCAAGCTGGATTGGTTCCAAGACCTCACGAGGCCGGTGAGCAGTTTGCAGCTCGGTTCAAATGGTACATCCGAGTCGAGCCGTATATGAAATTGAAATCAAAATAGCTTGGATGAGGCACAAGATTCGGTTAACTGTACCGGAGGTAGTAATTACGAGAATAGACGAGCAAGTAGGTCCTTGTTCATGGACAGAACCAGAATATCTTCCAATGATAGCTTTTCAAAAATTCCTTGAATGATTCAGTCCCCCATCGCCGAACAACATGAATTTCTGTCAAAGCGGGTATAGACCAGCCTAACCAGTTGAAAGACCTTTCCCGTCAGCTCCTCGGCAACCGTCCCACCGGAAAGCTAGTCTCAAAACTGATGATTCCGTCATCTCCGAGTTTTTATTCTGACACGCGTTTCGATTCAGCGTAGGACTTTTCTGTGTTCGCGGCTTCCCTGCATCAATATTCTGTTATCTCCGTCTGTTCCTGTGTTTCAATGCGACGCTTCGCATGAACACGAACTTATAAAGTCGTGCAGCGTCACTTTGATTGGGTACGTAGATAAGGAGTAGGAACACAAGGCTGATCAGGTGAACTCTTGCGTGGTGCGACACTTGGTAATTTAAATTTCCGCTAGGCAGAATACTATCTCGGGGCACCATGACTTTGTGATCCTTCCGGTGAGTACCTCAAAGTGTTAACCTGATCCCAGGACTAGCACTGCAAAGACGATTTATATTCAGGTAAGCGACCCCATACGTCGCCGTAACTGACTCCCGAGCTCCTCCGCCCGTGTGTCCTGGGGTCCTGTTGACGTTTTTCTGGAGAAATTCACCTGTGACTAGATGGTAGCTTGCTTATGCTCATCGTCATGGGAAATCCTGCCCTCTGGAAGTCTCTTTGCTTATGCAAATTAACGTCATAGTGATTCAGAAGTTTAGCATGTGGTCGAACAGCCGGTTCTGTTCGTAATAGCACCATGGTAATCATCAAGTGATGTGAAATTCCGGCTCGTCACTTCCACAAACATACGTCACCACTCATGAATAGACTTAAACTATTTCTCTTTCCCAGCACCCGGAAATTTGGTTAGTTCCAACCGCCGAACTTCTCTTCGTTGGCGATTTCAATATAGTCGAACCAAAACAAGTTGCAGCAAGTCATTTTTGAGAGATGGTGAGTAGGAAGAAAATTCCGTGAACAGAACCAGAGTAATTCAAACCTTAATCGCTCGTTTCCAGATTCAGTACGAAAGAAATGACTCGGCGAGCGCGTGATAGGCAGATGAATACGGAATCCCCTTTTCAAGGTAATCATCAAGTAAGAGTCTAGAAAACGTTCTTGATGATGCTGTGTTCATTACCATTAGTCTTCGCATTTTTGGTGGCACCCTCAAATGGGAAATCGCTATGGTCCAAGGGAGAGTTGAGGCAAGCCGGGACATCGCAGAGAAACTCAGAGAAGTGGTTATAGTGCCAAGCCTAGGCCATACAGAGCCCGGGAAAGAGTTTAAAGGTTCAATAAAAGACGAGAGGTGAGTATACAGAGCAATGTGATTTGCGGTCTATAAGTCCGCCTAGAAGACTAAGTCGGAGGTAGAATGCCAGTGTTGGTGGCTGGAAGTATTCTTATTGGTGTAGGGCGAGAGGGTAAGGCAAGGCTTCATTTTAAAGGTTCATAGATCGAAGTTCAGTTTATAGTCTTCCGATAGATTATTTCGCCTATGCAGCTCTCTTTCCTTCTCTTCATCGCGATGTGCGCGAATATATCACGGATGCTCTATTTGAACATAGTTTTAAATACGGTGCATCCTTGCTGACGCGTTCTTCCAACATGTGGTTTTCTTTGCATCACAAACCCTTACTATATCAGAACCTTCAAGGATCAGCATCTACTGGTGGAATAAGATGACATAGAAAAGAATGGGACTGTATTGATGCAAGGTACGGACGAAAGATGCTACTCAGTTCCGTCGTAATATGCTCTTCCATTAAAGAACTCCAGTCCATATAGAGGCAGAAGCCGGGGATGAACGTTGACGTGAAGTGGTTCCTCATTTCAAATCTCTCATCGGGTCCTTATCATGTGTATATCGAGGAAGAAAAAGGAAAAGGCATGTGCTTGGCGAGAGGTTCCTTCTCCCTAAACGAGCGGGGACGTGCTCGATGTCATCAACGATCAGTGAGTCAAGTCATTCGATGGTGGTCAGTGAACGTGCGCTAGCAACTTGTCTAGCGAACGCATGCTCAGCCATAGAGCGCGTCTTCTTTCCCAACGCAATATAATGGCGTTGTCCACCCCTTTCGCTCTCGATCCTCACCACGTTTTGCAACCAATGATCCATTTTCGAAGAAGATCGATCGTGACGTTCCAGACTGTATGGTTACCTCCTAGGGATAAACTCGCACCTTTGAAGGACGAAGGGTTCGTGAAGGCAGATCGAGCGGAGCAGTGTTTCGTACTCAATGACAGCAAAGACGATGACCTGTTCTTTAAATTGGGTTTGATGAAGAGAGATAGCACATTCCAAAGCTACGAAGAAAAAGTAGAGGTTAACGTCTAAGATGCTAGAAATATGGCCTTCGCGCTGATATAACACTCGATACATGTTTCACTGATTCTATATTGCTGTTCTGAAGTGATACCCGCCCCTCCTAGATCCTCTTCTGCCTACTGTTTTTAATCCCCTTTGATGTATATCATTTTTATCGTTATTTACTCTTATTATTGCCCTCCGAGTCTCATGGGTTTCTATCCAATTAAATTCTGTGTGCCTCCTTTGAAACAAAACTATTGTATGGACCACAATCCATTTGTTAGTCATGTCTTTACATCCTGCCATTGTTCTCCGGCTCGATCATTGGAACTTGTCGAGGGCTATATTAAGGTCCGCAGTTGACGCCAGATTGAAGGATTTATATGATCCACATACCTGGTTGATCTCATTTCTGCGTCCTTTTGCTGCCTCGAGACACTGGATCAGAATGCGAACGATCTCTTTCATGCCTTTCTTCCGATTTTTCTCATCCTCTGGCAAGATTTGAAGCTACGAATGATTGATGGGATTAGCAAGGGATGCTTGCAATGAAAATATAAACAGGTATGAATAACATACGCAGCTGATTTGAAACATAATGAAGAGTGAGTGAAAGACCGAAATGAGAATCAAGACAAAAATGTGGTGGTACAGAAGAAGAGTCGTGTCGGAAGCGATATGAGATCGGCTACGTAGATCAAGCACCCTCCCTTTGTGACCGCTATCTTTACCTATTGCCTCCCCATCGCTGGACTTAGCACTCTTTATGAACTCGTATTTTGCTCGAAGATTGTGGAAAATGGCTACGAAGGTTGTGGATTTACGACGCTGGGAGTTGAGGTGGCGGAGGTCCAGAAGAACCGGAATAGAAGATAAGGGCGAAGAAGAGTGCTGGCTGAGAGCGGCATAGCATTGTTTCTTAGTTCCCATTCCTCTCAGAGCTGTGATAGTGCCCGCACCGGGTCAGAAGGCTAAAAATAGGACTCCACGCACAAGTCGTCAGACTAACATATTGTGGTCAGGTCCCGCTTCTCCTTGCCTACCGCCCGCACAAATTGCCACGCGAAACACCACCTCTGTCAACGGAGGTTCTCGATCATCCTCTAAATACTCCCACTCACCTATCCTTCCCAACTGTATCTGCATTGTCTTTATTATCTGTATGTTCACTGGCGTGACTACCTCTAATTCCGGTCTCCAAGGTTAAAGGCGTTACTGCATCCAGCTTAGGATCGGGCAGACTTGCATCCGCTTGGCGAAGCCTGCACTATGTGTAACAGTAGTCGCACATGCACACTAAGACGAATAATCCCAGGAAAGCTGATGACGAGGGTCAGAAAACCACCTCGTCGGCTGTAAAATAAATAAAGACGTACCGGCAAGGGCAATGTCGACTATTTGACGGCCAGAGAATTTTCCATTGTGTCCGCCATTTTCATTGTCTGGTATAATGATGGTCTGAATCGAGTTTCACTGGCATATATGCGTGTCTGAGTTTCAGTGTGACTAGTACAAGGGATGGACCGCATCAAGAAACAGGTAAATTTCATTTTTGAAGACGCTGCTGGATGTCTTAGTGCTCTATTCGGTGGCGTCGCCTTGATTTTGTCGTTATCGTCAACGCCAGCCCAGGTTAATGTCCGAGACTGTGATGATGAGAGGAGGTAGAAGAAGTTTAGGGTCTAGCCGCCGGCATCCTTGTTGATCTCCCACCATCGCTATCACAATACTGCCTACTTGCGAGCCAAATCGAAGTGTCATATAGCGGGTTCAGGAATATTTTTTTTAGCCCAAAAGGTCTCTGTTCCTTGGAGTCATGCACCATAGTAGTGTTACTTCAGCATGTTTCATGAAGAAAAAGGTCTCGGTGCCGTCTTTTCAGAATCCTCCTAAAACGATCCGATCATCGTAATTTAGAGCCCCTCCATAGCAGTCCCTTCTGAGTCATATCCTCAATATCGAGAGTTATCCAGTACCATGCCGCCGTCCATGCTCATACCCACTATCCAAGAACTAGTAAGTCGTACCCAATGTATGATGCAGGCGAAGAGTTAATATGGATAGCATACACTCCATCGATGATGCTATGTCTCACCGTGTGGCAGGTGGTGTCGGGGACGTCAGAGCGATGGTATAGAACTTTGGTTTGTCTCGACGACGGCGATATTAAGCCCGTGACGGTGTCTACGGCCATCCTCGAGGCTCTTAACCAAGAATATCATGACCTATGCAATGTGAATGCCGTCGTCATGCGATATCTAATCATTGGCTTATACACGCTTATATAGTCAATGCAGATAAGCCGCGAAGATAATTCGATGCTGATAACATTTCTGCACGAGCTCGGAGTGGTGATAGGTTTATGCATTCACATTTTCTTCACGCATGCAGCTTTTGACTGTTCTACTTTGCTTTCAGGTTAAGAGCATATTACAGATTAGGGACACCGTTTAATGTGGAGTCTGGCGTCTCTAGCAGGATGACTTTGATTTACTTTCTCGTTTTGAATACGGTACTAATTCGTTTGGGTCTGTGAATTCACCGATCATGTTCCATGTTTCGACTGAGATTCTTTGATCTAGGTTGTCTTTTGCATATATCATATGAAAGACCAGGAAATGAGACATCTCACTTGCAAAGTATTTAGGCCAAGGTACCGGCGAACTTCGTACCTTGGTACCATCGCCATCTTCTACTGAAACCCTGGTCGTCTCTCGGGTAGGCATATCTTACCTCGTTTCCAACATCATTCTCAACTCGCCTGATTCCTTAACTGACAGACTATTCCTAGCCGTTATCGAGGGTAAACAAAACGTTCACAAGGAACATGACTAGAGCCGAGGTATGTATCGGACGCATTCAAGCCGACGTACCTCCTCTAACTTGCTATTAGAAAAAATCTTCCTCTTCTTCTGGCCTTGAGCTGGCGCGCCATATCACCGACGGGGACCTCCTTCCACTCCTTCGTGGAGGCTTCTCGTCTCTGGACCTGGACTCCACCACCATCAGTTCCATCCATACCCAAGTCGCATGTCTGGATATCGAAGTGCAATCTTGTCAAAACGAAATCGCTTCGATCCAATCTTCTCTACAACGTATTCAAGAGAAGTACGATCATACCGTGACAGATCTCTCTCATAAGAAATCCCTATTATCCCCTATCCGACGCGTACTACCTGATGTCCTGCTGCACATATTCAATTTGGCAGCTGAAGATAGTGAGATCTGCATCTCATCGCCTCCGTTCATCCTTCGTAGCGTATGCTACACGTGGAGGGTCCTTGTCCTGTCGTCGCCATCCCTTTGGTCTAAGGTGAACATCAATTTAACTAAATACTTGGGGGAGACGAGTGAATCATACAACTCGAAGAATCGTCTCCTCCTCCGCACCGCCTTCTCTCTGTCGAGAAATTGTCCCCTCAGGATGTCAATTCGGGTCGTGGGCACCTCCCCAGAGGCATGGGCGTTAATGATAAATTACATCGCTCCTACATCTCAACGATGGAAATCCCTTTCTCTCCGTGTCTATGATTCGGCAAGCATCTTTGGCCTTTCGAACATCTCGGGACGCCTCCCAATGCTAGAAAGCTTGGATTTGAACCTGTACAACTCTCATCCACGAAATTATTTTCATGCGGCGCTTTCCCGGATTTTCCGCTCCGTTCCTTTACTACGCTCCGTTAAAATAGCTGGCAACATCTTTGCCGAATTATCGCTTCCTCTTCATCAACTAACGACCATCGATTTCAAACCTGAGCGATGCCGGACTTCTGAAAAATCCCTGTTCTATGGTTGTATTGCGCAAGGGACGGAACTGGAATCGTTCACCTTCCAAAGGGCCTATGAGGGTCCTTCGGACATGGGCAAATTTTCGGGACCACTACCGGAAATAACACATCCAAATATCCGACAGCTTTCACTGGGATACGATATTCCCCCAGATCTGAAGTATTGTGCCTTTCCAGCACTGGAGGATCTGACTCTTTTTGCTTGTCATAAAAAACTGCATTCAGGACTCATTCATACTGTACATGAACTTGGAATGATCTCCGAATTGCTGAAGCGCTCCAAACCTCGTCTTCGATTCTTCGCCGTGTACAGGCCTCTTGCTTTACCAGTTTTCAATGACATCGCCATGGGGACGTTTACGTCTCTCACAGATCTCGTCATTGCCGTAAACGAGGAAACGTCAACTGAAATAGTGCAAATATTGGCAGAGCCCTCTTTCGTTCCATGTCTTCAGCGATTGTCCCTGCATATCTGCTTTACAGCAAGATCATTATTCGAAGATGATTCCCTATATGGTATGGCCATATCCAGACACAAATGTGGACTGAAATCGCTGGTCTTGTCGGTTCCAGACACCGAAGCTTTGAGGACCTACCACTTTCCGGATAATTCTGACTGGAAGAGGCGGTTGTTGCAGATATATAAACTGAAAGAAGCTGGATTGGGAGTGATCTTCTCATTGAATAAAGCAGACTTTTTTGATGAAGAAGATGCATCTAATGAGCTTGCAAATTGGCTGAATGTTTGGACTATTCTGGATCGTTTCGCCTAATTGTATGACTTGTAAATTTACTTGCTGGTTGTATTCTTATGCCCTGAATTTGATTAAATGAAAAATCGATCCGTAGAATGTAATTTATGGCGAGCGACGATTATCATGCATGTTACGCTATAGGATAGTTGTGATTCTGTGCTTCCCGACCGGGGGTTTACTTGGGCTATTCATTACATAAAGGAACGGTATAAGTGGAATCACCAAATGGTAGAGGTAATCAGACATGATTTTGTCATACAAGGGACAATGGACATACTTTGGAATTTGGCTTATAGCCCTTCTCAAATTGCAGTTCATGGCGCAGTTTATCTTTTAGTTTATTTGATGGCATGATGGCCGTAAAGGCAATTCCCTTCAGCACAATCTGAGCAGAGCTTGAACTGAGGTCTTCGAAATCGAGAATCCAGGTTCAGACAAGTTGTAGCCCTCATGGCTTGTGATGGCTCGACCCAGCGATACTGCTGCCACTTCCATCAGGCTCAGATATGGCCTATGTACATGATCTTCAGTCACTGGAAATTCTGCTGCTCTCTGATACTGAGGATGAAACTGAGGAACTGGTTGCTCTAGCTATAGCCCAACTAGCCATGGGTGAAGCCTGTGCGCAGCATTGTGATAAATATGGGCTGAAAGGACTCTAGGAATGAGCTAAATCTAAGGACTTCTATGATATTTTGGTTCATTTCTCTGATATATAGTTCAAGACATGGTTAAGATGTGTCTTGTGATGTTTTCCATTCTCTCAATGCTATAATCTGCTTCAGAATGGACCATAATGCCTTTGAGCACCTGTATGATCTCATCTGGAATGATCCTGTCTTTTTAAGTACTGGTATATATCATCAGCTCTCTCTGAAGTACCAATTTGCAACATTTTTGATATAGCATGACTCAGAGTCAACAGTCAAGAATGTGAGCATTCTTTTGATATCCAAGGGGAGCATTTGCATGCATTATGTCTCTCAAGCTTTTTGATGCATACAGAAGTATCACTTAGCATAACCTGAAGCATTACACAGAGAATTTCTATCAGATAGGATAGAGGCTTAGGACTTCTCTGACTGTCTGAGCTCTGGGGACAGGAGCTATATTCATCTAATGGATCATCCAACAAAGAATGAATATGCATATTGGTGTCACAAGGAGTTCTATACAGTGCATAATCATATTCTTACATTTTCTGTCTTTTTTCTAACTTCTTGTCAGCTCATCATACAAGCAACTATTGACTATCACACTATCTTTACATTGTATGACTTTGGATGGTCTGGCTCAGTACAAGATCACTGGATCTTTTGCAATTCCCATCTTTGGCAGCATTATGATGATTATTTTCAGCAGCATAAGTATATTCTCATTGTGAAGGATGGGTATTCACATTACAGATACACTATTTACTGAGTTTGGCTGGGCAGACTATCTGCTCACTCAGTTCTTCATATGACTGTTCACAAACTATGACTTAGCTCAAGCTGCAGACCAAAAACAGTGGAATAAGTGACTTTCTTCCTTATACATGTTTGTGGAGCATACTTTCAGCTGATTGAAATGGTGAATCCCAATTCTTTACTGTTCTCTTAGTCAGAAGCTGCAGAACCACTGTAGGCTTATTGAGTCTCTTATTATACATAATATATTGGAAAAATATGGTGATGATCCTGAGACTATCAGAGGATTCAAAAGCAAGGAGGACAATAATTTGATAGACATTGTGGGTGAAGCACTCCTCTTTTTTTGCTTAGCCTTTGGCTTCTCATCAATTTATCCATCATTATTATCACTAACATCATGATCTTCATTTGTACCATCTTCTCCAGTGTGGTCCTCCTACTCTTTGCAGGCCTTGTACTTGTTTCAGACTTTATTAAGCATATAATTGCATATCTGGATTTGCATAACTCTCTAAAACATCTTGTGAGATCTTTTTATATGTGTGAATATAGCTACATATAGTATGAATGTGTTGTACTGATTATAATCTAATAGGTGTTCTGCTTGATTCACTAGTCTTCTCAATTCTTCTCAGTAATCAACCATCAAATTGTGAGAAGCTTATCAGCATCAGATAGACCTTTTGCTCTTTCTTTTTGGTCTGTCTCAACCTTTGCAATGATATTGGCTTGCTTAAGGTCTGCTATTATATTCTGCTCTTTAGAGAGTGCATTGACTTGATCATCTGAACCTCTATTCTGGCAGTGGTTAGTTTCTGAACTAGTGATAAGTCTGAACTTCTATAGTAAAAACAAATAGACACTTATAAGAGTCCAGTTTTAACAACTTCAGAAATCTAAACTTCAGTTTTGTGAGTGAGCTTTCAGTTTACTTCTGTATAATTCCTTCAACACTGTTACGATTTTTCCATTATTTTCCTCTTTAACCCCTATCTGTGCTGAGTCACGGCACTAAAGACAAGCGTCTAGGATCATGGGAAAAGGCTTAGTCAGCACAACTAGCCAAATCCACCATTGTCTTCCGACGAGGAGACAACGCTTGACAACGCACAACGAACCTTTTATATACGATAACGATGCCCTAGGACAATGGGCACAAAGGATGCGACAATGCACAATAAGTAGTCGTATATATTTAGACACTATCCAGTAGTATTTAAGTAAGACAGCTCTCGCTGGTAACCCCCAGCTTCGAGCTAAAGTTTATACATACCATTCTACCTCAAGTCTATATCTGACCTTGTGTTACATCACACGGATATACAACAGTGAACTCAGGTGATTCCTCGAAGTGCGAAGGAACACCTGCTTATCACGTGTATCTGTCCACGTGACACCTGGGCCTAACAATTAGCTCGAAGCTTCCTCATTCCCTTTCTCAAGCCCAATTGTGCTGAGAAACCGAATGCCTCCAGTAACAACCATGGACCTGAATCACAACTTCTTCGAGCTTATCGCTTCCATCATCAGAACTTTACTTGGACTTCTAGCCATCATCACCCTTTGCCGAGGACGACAATCAGTAGCAGCTTAGATAGTCAGGCACTATCAGGCATTCCAGCATATTCAACACATCCTACACAACGTAACCCCTGACCTACCCTTCCATGACATCCCCTCCTCCATCAGAACGTCCTTCTTCCCACAAGGGGGACCCGTACCAGAAACCGGGAATAACGACTCGGATTCGGGGAGCCTTCACGAGGAAGAAGGACTCCAACACCCCCCTCGACGAAGCAGCGGAAACCACCACCCTGCTCTCACAGGGTTCCGGAACCCATGGACGATGAACGTCGCTCAGGAGCCCGCAGAGGTCTCCAACTACGTCACTCCCGCAGACTCCCCCGAGCATTCCGCCTCCCCAATTCCCTCAGGGATTGGAAACCGTGCTCGGGACTCCCTTGATGCCGCTCGGATGGCTGCAAGACCCCACGAGAGCCCCGACTCCCCCCAGAACCCCCCCGAGACCCCCACCGAGCCCGACTCCATCTCCAGCCGGTCCATCAGTAGGCTGGGGATCGAGAACCCGCACGGGAGGACTATCCACCCCGACTACGCAAACGCAGAAATTGCCATTTCCGCAGCAGGAGATCCTTACCAACATCTCCATGTGGGAAGCGAGCCAGAGGTCGGGACTGCCAGCAAAAGGGGAAGAGCTGCGCGGGACAGAATCATACACTGAATTTTCCCAGACTGGGATCTTGCGACCCCCTTCAATTACGACGAAGCAGTATGGCAGCAGGATCAGAACCGAGCAAACGAGGCTAGGTGAACTCAGGAAGAGCTCCCCAACTACGTATGAGAAGAGGCCCGAGAGCAATACGAGGCTGCAGAGTATGACAGACAAGAAAGAGCACAGAGAAGAAGGGAGGAAGCTGAGTGGCTGGGATCGGCCTCCCCCAGTGGGTACGGACTCCGCAGTGACGCAGGGACTCCCTTCGTTGAGCCTGACTCAGACGACGACCCATGGACAGGACCTGCCAGCGTTGTCAGCTGGAACGAGGCCATCAGACGAGGGAGGGCAGGGAGGCCCTGACCTGTCGACCTCGAGTACCCCGCCCATACTGACACCATCTCCTTGGACGCCGACTCCGTTCTCGGAGCCTATGGGCTCCGAGTACCCGACAATGCCCACGTCTCCGACAGGGCTCTCCAGCGATTCTTGGGCAGTAGAGTTGCTTGACAGTTCCTTAATCCTGAGTTCCAGCAACACTTCAGCCACTATAGCCGAGAACTGGAGGAGACGCGAGTGTGCGGAGGGATGCGCTATAGCCGACTCAGGAGTCCTCCCATCGCCTGAGTCAGCAGCTGAGAGGACGCCGGGCCCAGTACCCAAGTCAATGGAAGGGTCACTGACGACCCTTTGTCCAGTCGTACCGTCCATCTACGACCAGCCCATCCGTTCCCTCCTCGAGGAAGAGGACAGCGGGGACGAGGGTGACGAGGAGGACATGGACAGTGATGACCTATATCAACAACAGATGGAACGAGCAGGAGAAGACACCGACGAAGAAGCGTTAAGAGAGGAGATGGAAAGAGCAAGGAACAAGGAATATCAAGAGTTGTACAGACAGGGGAGAGACTTTTTATGGCAAGACGCGCGCTGGCAAGCGATGTCATTAGGACTGGAATATCGGTACGCAGAAAAAACTGAAAAAGAAAAAATTCTACAGTATGCCGCGACAGAATATGCATGGAAGGAATATGGCCGGCGGCATCCGGAAGACCCGCTCGTGCCGATACCCCCGTATCAATCCACCATCAAACCAAGAACACCGGCACCAATGCTGCGCACCCCCCCCGTACCACCAAAACGAGCCGTCTATATCGCCCCTTCAATCCAAAGCCGGGCCGATGTTAGTCCGTCAACCCGGAGCACTGCCTCCTGACTTATTCGAACCAGAACTCGGCCGGCATGGCGGCCCACTAAGGTTCAAAATCCCTGGACTGGCACCGGAAGCCGACTCCTTGGAGGGCAACCGCCCCCGGATCAGGCAGAATCAAGTGGAAAGGATCCTGTTCGGGATGATCCTAAAGCGGTTCGCCTCAGATTCACAGTGCGCGATGGGGTCATCATCCGCATGGTCGAACCAAAAGGAAGCCCGGTCGCCAACGACAACTCGCTGCACTCCTTCCCTGGACCTCCCTCAGAATGGAGGCAACCACCATTCGACGGGTGGCCCAACCCAATGGGTCCGCTTCCCCATAATGCTAACGTCCTACAATGTCACCCTGATCTTCTTCGAAAACCCCGCCCCTTCAAAGGGGCCTCGGACGACATCGACCGATTCCTGGTAGACTGCGAACAATACTTCGAAGTCTATATTGGGTATATCGGGACAGACATGAACAAAGTCGCGTTCGCTACCTCGTACCTGGAAGATAAGGCCAAAACATGGTGGATTCTGATCTCCCCGAACTTCCGATCCACCACTAGGGAGCATTACCGATATCCCTCGTGGCCGGTCTTCAAACGGATGCTAAACAACAAATTCATTGATCCCGCGGTCCAAGAAGTGCACAAGCAGAAGATCAAGGAGTACAAGATGGGAGATAAGGCGGCAACAGATTACTTCGATGAACTGGAACAACTTGCCAAACTTGCGGGGATCAGGGAAGACACCGCAAACGATGGGAGAATGGTAGAGGCACTCAAATGAGGGGTCTCCTCCTCGTACCTCACGATGATTTCAGCCATGGGCATCAAAATGCTGATGCTGGTGGGATACGACAAATGGAAAGAACGAATCATCGAGATGTACAAGGAGCGACAAAGGCAGAAAGCGGAGGCGACGACGCTGCAGGAATACTCCAAAAAGCCAGCCCCGCCAACCCCGAACAAGTCGGGGCAAACTGCCGGAAAAACTTCGGGCTCCTCAACGGCCACCACTTCATCGTACGGCACGCAGAAGACCGGGACCGGCACAACCTATACGGGGACCGGAAAGCCGATGGACATCGATCGCATGAAGAAGGAAGGGAAATGTTTCAATTGCAGACAGAAGGGGCACATGGCAAAGGACTGCTCGAAGAAGAAAAGAACCCGAGAAGACATACGGGCACAGATCGCTGAGCTTCAAAAGGAAGAAGAGGACCTTGGAAAGGAAACCAAGGTCGAGGAGGTAAAAGACGGGGCCAGCCAGTGAGCGATTCCACCGGACTGGCCAAAGAACTTAATGGTGTGTCAGTAATAGCCGCTAGTCGGACTAATAGTACCCCTGTAGTTACAACTATGAAGCCTACTATGCATTTGAATATACCCCAGTCATTCACAAAACACACCATTGAATCGCAAGAAAAAACTCAAACGCCCACGGGCCGAACAGGGATAGAGAATCCCACCACGTGGCTCAAACCATTCGATACCGAGTGGACATGGAGGGCCATCAAGGATGCCAGGGATGAGGCAGCGGCGAAAGCCGTACTCTGAAACTGGATCCATAGGACACGAGGCGAAGAAGTGGTAGACGAGCTAGTTGAAAAAATCAGGAAGGCCAAGCGCTGTCAAGTCCTCGAATGGTTAGACGAACTCCGCAGGCCAAAAAAATACATCCTGTGAACAAAGACCCCCGGGCGAGATCTAACTGTAAAAGGACAAATCGAAACGCTAACCTCCCGAGCCACATATCAAATGACCGCCTTGATCGACAGCGGCTGTACTGGGAGCTCAATCAATCGCACTTTCGTCGACAAGCATCAGCTTCCAACCAGGGCAACCGCGGCCCCAATACCAGTGTATAATGCCGATGGGACAAAAAACCAGGCCGGTTCCATCATGGAATTCATTGAACTCAGATTAACCATCGGAGATCACTCTGAACGAATTGACTTGGCGGTAACG